GAGTCCTAATGCAGGCTGCTGGCCCCACAGGAAGGCTGTCTGCTCTTAGGGAAGGCCGTCTGCTCTCGGGGGAAGGCTCTTCTCAGCTTTTGGTTCCCAGGTTCCTTGGTGGCCACGGGCGGTCCATCTTCCTCTTCCTTTAGGCTGGCTTGCTTGGTCTGCTCATACATATCTTAAAAGGAACTGATCTAAGACACATCCTTTACTAAAAATTCTCATTAACATAACAAAGAAGACCATTTATATTCTTTAGGGATGTCTTTGCCTAGAAAGAAATCTCTGTTCCTTCCAGGGATTAAGCCAAAGCAAAGGTGTTGAAGGCCAAGGAGGCAGTGCTGCAAGGTGTCGACAGACACAAGAAAAGAGCATGTCCTTTCCAGTGGCCTAAGACACTGCAACTCTACAAATAACTGCCAGTCAGTTCTGAATCATAGTGACACTTGGGTTTCGGGGTCTCGAAATCTTTATGGGAGGAGTTTGTCCATTTTTTGTCCCTTGGCATGTCTGGTGGATTCAAACGGCTGACCTTAGAATTAACAACCTTATACATTTATGTACTAGATCAGCAGCCCAAACTTCCTTGGGCCACATAGGGCTTCTCTTCCTCGCCCAGCCATGCCCAGGGGACTGGAGACATGAGCTTGACCGCTGTGCTATCATCAGCTTCCCCTGGCCACGCCACAGAGACAGTCATGAAGAAGATGGAAGATAACAACATACTGGTGTTCACTGTGGATGTCAGGTCCAACAAGCACCACATCAAACAGGCCATGAGGAAGCTCTCCCTGACGTGCCCAATGTCAATATCTAGATCAGTCTGATGGATGGAAGAAGTCATGCTTGACTGGCTCCTGACTATGATGCTTTGGTGCTGCCAACAAAATTGAGATGATTTAAACTGAATCAATATATGTGGTACCAGCAGTCAAGAGATCAAGAGCTGTGTTGCACTGGGAAAGTCTGCAGTCAGGGATCTCTCCAAATTACTGAAGAGCAATAATGTTAGTTTGAGGACTAAGGTATGCCTGCTTCAGATCGTAGTAATTTTAAATACTTGCTATGCTACTGAGAGCTGGACAATGAATAGAAATGACAGAGAAAAAAGTTGATACCTTTGAACTGTGGTGTTATAGAAGAGAACTAAATATTCCAAGGACTGCCAAAAGAACAAGTAGATATGTCTTGGAGAAAGTGCAGCCAGACTGTTTCTTGGTGGCAAAAATAATGAAGCTTTATCTCACATATTTTGGGCATGTTGCTAAGAGAGGTTATTCTTTGGAGAGGGACATCATGCTTGGGAAGGTGGAGGGATGGCCCAGATGAATTGACAGTGACTGTAGCAATAATCTTGAGTGTGTTGGAGAATTTAAGGATGCCACAGAATAACACAGGGTTCAGATCTATTGTTCAAAGGGTAGCTAGGAGTCATACTCAACTCGATGGCACCTACCAACAACAAATTGAACAAAGATGGGTAATATAGGACATAATTCAATCCATAATGTGTGATCTAACGTAAATGTCACTGTACTGATCACCTCTTAATTGTTTATTCAAAACTTTCAAAAGGGTCCTAAAGTCCAAAGCATCAAATCCAAGGACCTCCCCAAGGCCATTTACAAGATGGCATCATCACCCTTAGTGACTGTTCTGCCCCCAAGAGCACATTTTGGGCATTCCTATTCTGGAATTCTCTCCTTAGACTGTTCAATCCAAACCCCATGCATTTTTTTAAAGACCTCCTTCAGAGTCACCACCTCTAGGAAGCCTTTAACGCTCTTCTGAACTCCTCTCATCCATTGGGTGTTCCTTCATGAATGCTGCCCTAAGACAGAGCCTATGTTGCTGCTCTATCCTCTTATTTCTTCGTGTTTCTATATATCTCTGGTTTTACAGGGCTAAAAGCAGACAGCCTTGGGGCTAGCAGAGTGAGTCCTGACCCTTTGCAAGGAAGCAGTCAGTATCAAGCTCTGTACTAGGGAGACTGGAGGAAGAAGGTGGAGCAGAGCACAGCAGAGCATTCTACTAAGGGAATGTAGAATGGACAGAAAGGTGTATACCCCATGGAGCCAGCAGAGGGGCAGTGGGGCCAGGTGCAGGGCTGGGCTGCTGGGACTCTTACATTCTTTTGGTATAGCTTGGCTGCAGGACAACTGCCTGCTTGGGGAGAGCGCCTCTCCACATCAGCTTTCTGATCCTCCACCTAGGGCTCCTTGAAGCTGGGACCATAGCAGGACTTCCCATCCCCACCTGGTCATCTTCACACACCTGCTCCTCAGCTGTGGTTGCCCATCTGCGGGTGACCTGGGCTGCACCCAGCAACTGTGGCCTCCCCATCTGTAGTATGGATGCATTTAGTGCTGAAGACTCAGAAAAGCAAAGGCCAGCATGAGACTACCAACTTAATATCCTGATGCCCTGCCAGTGTTTTACAGAAAGACTCGCTCCAGTATTACCAGTAGGCATTCCCAAAGCATATGCAGTCCTGAAGTTCTCTACCTTTCTATATTGGATTGCTCCCCTCTTTCCCCTCCACAGCCATCATCTCAGAGCCTTTCAGCAAAGCCCAGGCAAGGACCACTGACTGTGCCACTTAAAAATCACCCAGTGCTAAGTCATTACCTTCAGGTGGTCCCATGCACAATGCAACAACAAACTGTGCAGTCAAGTCGATTCCGACTGGGAGGTTAACAGAGCCCACCCAGTGACTCCACAGCAGCTCCCATAAAGATTTAAGAAATAAACACACTGTGATCAAGTTGGTTTTGGCTCATAGAAACCCCCCATCAGGTTTCTGAGGATGTAAATCCCATTGGGAGGAGATGTGCCATCTTTCCTCCATGGAGCTGCTGGTGAATTTGAACCACCGAAGACATCTGGCCTTTTTTTGGTTAGCAGTGAGACTGGCTACAGACTATACCACCTTATGGGGCAGGTCTGCTCTGTCACATTGGGTCACTATGAGATGAAAATCAATTCAATGGAATTTAGAAACAGTAACAACGACAGCCAGAGATGGGCAACTCCTTCATCTTGGAGAGATAAAGAGGCCTCTTCATTGAGCACCGGTGCCTGGAATGAAGATGCCTCTCCAAGCAAGGCGGCTGCCTGATTGAGCGGAGAGCTGGGTGAGGCTGGGTACCAGCTGACACCTGGGACGTGTCAGTTTGTAAGCATTCATGCAAAAAAAAAAAAGACATTTATTTGACTCAAACTCCCAGATCACATGAAGAAGAATGTGGCATCAGATGAGGAGGAAAACTCCTCAGCAACCTTTGTTATACATTAACACAACAACTCTGTTGGCAAAATAATTTACAACAGTTAACTGCAGCGGACCAATGAATATAGCTTTCAATATGGATTACTTCTCAATATGAGGAAAACAAAATTCCTTACCACTGGACCAATAGGCAATATCATGAGACAGGGAGAAAAGATTGACATTTTCAACAACTTCATTTTACTTGGATCTACAATTAATATCCATGGCTGCAGGAATCAAGAAATCAAAAGATACAATTGCATTGGGAAAATCTGCTGTCAAGGACCTCTCCAAAGTGCTAAAAAACAAGGATATCAATTTAAAGATGGAAGCGTGTCTGATCCAAGCCATGATTATTATTTATTTTTCCCAATTGGGTCTAATCTTACAGTTGGAAAATGAGTAAGAAAGACTGGCGAATAATCCATGGCTTTGGACTGTAATTTGGGAGAAGAACACTGAACATCCCATGGGTTGTCAAAAGAACAAATAAATCTTTCTTGGAAGAAGTGTAACTGAGGTGCTGCTTAGAGAGAGGGAGGGTGACATTTCATCTCACTTTGGGTGTGTTACCAGGAGGGGCCAGTCCTTGGAAAAAGACATGAGGCTAGAAAAGGCAGAGGATCAGTGAAAGAGAGGAAGACCCTCACTCAGCAAGATGGATTGACACAGTGACTGTCACACTGTGAGAATGGCACAGGATAGGGCGAAGTTTCTATCTGTTGTTCATGCAGAGAAGTTGGCTGGTGGGAGTAGGAAGAGTGGGGGAACAGGAGAGGCCAGAGCATGACGAAGGAACCTGGGTAAAGGTAGCCAGTGGGAGACACACAGCAAAGACATCTGTCATGTGGAAGAGGCAATGGGAATCAGAGAAATGCCAGGAGGGCCCCCATACTTATCAACGTGATAGCAATGGGTTTGATTTGGGGTCTGGGCCTGCATTGATAAAAGGACCAGATGAGAAAGTCATGCTTCGTAAACGAGGCTGAGCACAGCCACATTCACTCTGGTCTGACTAGGAAGTAGCACTTGTAATTGAGAGGAACAAGGCTTAACTCACAAGGGCCAGTTATATGCTTCAGCAAGAGAAACTCACAGAGTGGTCTGGGAAGAAATATCCACATGATAGAGTAGAGCAATGTTTGTCTCATTACAAATCATCATTTCTGAGAAACATCACAGTTACTATTTCAAGTTATAATTTACCATTTTGTTGTTAGGTGTGCTAAGTCACTATTTACAGTGACCCTACGAATAGCAGATCTGAGCTTTGCACTATTCTCACAATCTTTGTCATGTTCAAGTCCATTGTGGCAGTCACTATCTCACTGAGGGTCTTTCTCTCTTTCGATGACCTTTTACCTTTCCTGGCATGATGTTTTCTTCCCAAGGACTGGCCCCTTCCCAACCTTAGAAAGTCAGTCTTCTCACCCAAGACCCACTCAGTGCTTATTAACAGGTTTCAGGAAGCACAATAAATATATTTAATGCATTACTCAGTGTGTGCTCCTAGCAATTCTTTGAGGTAGGCATGCATTATGACCATTCTTCAAATGAGGAAACTGAGGCTCAAGGGTTTTATGTGATAGAATTAAACATCCGCCTTGACAGTAAAAACCTAGAGTTCTGGCCTAAGATGCCCCCTTACGCCCTGTTCTCTCTAACAGGAAGGTCAAAGATATAGTGAGAAAAGCAGGTCTGAGGAGTCCCACAGAGCCGGGCCCCAGACGCCTACCTTGGATTCCGTACAGTCGGTTAAGGCGCGACCGCCGGGCCTCATCAGTGTAGGGGACCGCGAGCCAGGGCATCTCGCTGAAGTACTGCGTGAAGGACTCCTCCGACCTGCAAAGACAGACACTCGAGAACAAAGCTCTTTCATCCCCAGTGGGTCAGTCTATTGCCCACCAATCTGTGTGCAGGCCTCTCAAGATCCTGGGATTTATAACACTGTGTTCCTCAAACCGCTGGTGACAGCTGAGCTTATTCCACGCATTCTGCTTTTCATCAAGAGGAGAACATCTCCAGGTAACACGTGGCTCTCAAACAGAAATGCTAGGATGTTCCCATAGCCGGCTCTCCAGCATCCGCCAACTGAACTCACGCCTCACTTTTCAGTTTTCAACCTGGGCTGGCCTGCCTTTAATAAAGATGGCATTCATTGCTGCTGAGTCAGAACTGATTCCAGCAGGTTATCAGAGGTTATAAATTCTCCCTTGAAGCAGCTGGTGGATTCAAACTGCCTGCCTTTGGGTTAGCAGCGCAACTGCCTACCCACTAGGCCACCAGAGTTCCTTTTTAGGCCACACAGGGTCCTTATAAAGACATCTCTTTCCCTGTGATACCTCTGATCTGTGCCTCTCACAATGAGGTGTGCAAGCTCACACATTTATACCAAGTGTATACTATATGATTACACATATAAAAACCTCTCAGTCAGGAAAAATCTATTCTAGTGACAGAGCCAGATTGGGGTGATGTCTAGGCTTGGGGTTTAGGGATAAAAGCTGACCAAGAAAGCGGACACGAGGAAAACCAGTGATGGGAATATTCTGTATCTGACTGTCGTGATGGTTACAATGGTGTTTGTGTTTGTGTCTATTTAGACACCTTAAAACTCACTGAACTTTCCCAGAATGATGTGGCATCGTCGTGAAAAACAAAACAAAACCAGAAACCAAAAACCAAAAAACTCACTGAACTTTACACCTAAAACTTCGGTATTTCATTATATGCAAATTATGCCTCAATAAAGTAAACTTTTCAAAACAAGCTTTTAAAAAGTGGCCACATCCCACTCTATGCCTAGCAAGCTTCCTGAGTTGGCAGAGCTTTGGAGCAGTAAAACAAGACCACAGCCCACAATCAGAGGCCAGGAGAGTGCGGATGCCAAGAACACAAAGTTGGCATCTAAGAGATCTGTGACCAGAAGCAGAGTCCTAAGTGCCGGAGATTTGATATGAAGGATGCTCACAGATTAGTAATGCCAGTAGGGTGTTCCCTTATCAAGCATCTTCTAAAGTGCATGGCCATAATCCCACTCTTGTCCTCACCCTAAATAAAAAGGTTGCATATCCAATCCAGCATCGGTGCCTGACTCTCCTGTATCCTCTCCAGCTCCACATCCTTTCATCACCATCCAAAAAGCTGAACACACCTGAAAAATTCATCCTGAGCCCAAATAACACCGAATGGAGTCCAGTACCTGCAGCAAGAACAGGCTTTATGGATTCTCTTCTGAAAATCACATGTGGTCATGAGAAATGCACTAGTTCCTCTGGCCATAATCTCAACTATGTCTTCCTGAGCCCACCTCCAAGCTGTTCAATAAGGAAGAGAGTCATGAGAGGAGAGGGAATGAAAAGGGCTGCCAATCACTGAGAGCCATGGAAGGTGGCCCTAACCAGCTTTACCAGCACACCTTACCTGTCTGCGCTCACGAAGATGATCTCAAACTTCTGGCCTGCCTCCTTGATCTTCCGGTAGGATTCCACCAAGACCCGGGTGAGGCTCCGGCAGGGGGGACACTGAAAGACAGTGGGGAGCCTGCTGCATTAAGCACCTGCTACTCTCCTCTCTCCTAACCATTTGCTCTTAGAGATCACACAAGCAAGATCCGAGTAGGATTGAGCCAGGAGAACTCAGTTTATAAAGGAAGCAGAAACAAGCTTCCTCTCCTAATAGCAAGCAGCCAGCACACAACATAGGGTTTTCCTGACCCCCATACCACTTGCAGCTACACAGAAATGAACATGAACCTCTTAGGGACCATTAGAAGCTTCATCAGTGGGCTCTAAGAGAAATATCCTTTAGACAAGCCTCAAAAAATGAATTTGCCTACTGCTATGATAAGCACTTACTGATGCCCATAATGCACTGGGCACAGAGAAGGCCATCCTGGCCTCCGGAAGCTGACCACAGCCAGTTCTGGTGACAACATCACTAGGAGCATGAGGGACCTGACACTCACCCAATGTGCGGAGAAGTAGACCCCAACGTGGGAGCCTTCCAGGCTGCTGCTATCCAAGGACTGCCCGCTGTTTCTCAGCAAGGGCCCGGCAATGACTTCTCTGAAGGGCTTAGGCCCCCAAGGAAATTCCAGACCTGAAAGGGGTGCAGATGGTGAGTGTTAGGACTCTTCATCACTGCTTCAGACCATAAGGGAAGGTGGTGACCAAAAAAAAAGCTTTCCTTTCTGGATGTATCTGTGAACACATCTTTTTAGCACAGAGTTTTAGCCAGGATCTGCAGCCGAAACAGGAATACCGGCAGAACTCGGCAACAGGAGCCCCTACCGACTTTGCAAGGCAGCTACTGCCAAATCTGGATGACCACAGTGCAGCTTCTCCTGGGAGCGTTTGTAAAGTCTAGATGCTCTGGTTGCACCAGACTTAGGCTTCAGGAACCAGACTAAAGAAAATGGTTTGGTGGTTCTGCAAAAAGTTAAATACAGAACCACAAATTAAAACAATACAAAAGCCACTGCTGTCAAGTCAGTTCCAACTCACAGTATCTTTATGGGAAAAAACAGAACTGCCTCACAGGGTTTGTAAGGCCATAAGCCATTCTGGAAACAGATAATCTCATCTGTGATTCCTCACAGGAATCAGCTTTGTGTTACCTGAAAATGAACTAAGAGAACTTCAGGAACTATTAGAACCTTGCAATGGTCTATCAATACAATGGAAAATTTCTCAGTCATGACAAGGAATGAAGTTCTGGTATATGCTACCATGTAAATGAATCCTAAAAATATAATACTAAGTAAAATAAACTAAATATAAAAGGACAAGTATGTATGATCCACTTACATGAAGTACCTCAACTCAACTCAACTCAACTCACTGCTGTCAAGTCAGAATCAACTCAGCTGACCCTCCAGTGGGTTTTCAGAGGGTGTAAACTGCATGGGAAAAGAATGCTTATCTTTTTCCCTTGCCACACCTGGAGGATTCAAACTGTTTGCCTTTCAGTTAGCAGGGTAACTCCTTACCTACTAGGCCACCAGAGCTCCCTATGAAGTACCTAGAACAGACAAATTCATAGAGACAGAAAGAACAGAAGCTATCAGGGGCTGGGGGAGGTAGGAAAGTGGAGAGGCAGAGAAAAGGGAGCAATTGCTTGGTAGGTTTGGGGTTTTCTTTTGTTGTTGTTGTGTACTGTCAAGTCGGAACTGATCCATAGCTGACCTTCCCAACAGGTTTTCATAAGCAGTTAATCGCATGGGAGGAGATTGCCCATCCTTCTCCCATGGAGCAGCTGGTGGCCTCAAACCTCATACCTTCGATATTGCAGCAGTGTCTTACCACTAGGTCACGAGAGCTCCCTAAGGGGATGAAAATGGTTTTGGAACTAGCTAGTTATTGTTGTTGTTATGTGTCATTGAGTTGACTACGACTCATAGTGATCGTAAGAACAATAGCTCTGAGGGAGCTCTTGTGGCCTAGTGGCAAGATGCTGTGCTGCAATCCAGAAGGTGCCTGGTTCAAATCCACTAGATGCTTTCCTGGAGAAGGAGGGGCAATCTCCTCCTGTGCCAGTCAGATTCAATTTGATGGTACCCAAGGTAAAAATAAAAGAAAAAAGAAGGGGGGGGGGGGAAGAACAATAGCTCTGAACCCTGCCCTATCCTGAGCCACTCTCACTCTCTCAGACACAACTGTCTCCACTACCACAGTCACTGTGTCAATCCATTTCATCCAGAGTCTTCCTCGCTTGTGCTAATTAATCCTCTACCCTTCCAAGAGTGATGTTATTCTCTAAGGACTGGCCCCTCCTGGTAACACGCTCAAAGTATGTGAGACAGAGCTTCAAAATCCTTGCCTCCAAGGAGCAACCTGGTTTCACCCTCTCCATGACAGACGTACTTGGTCTCTTGGGAGTTCACAGTATGTGTAATACTCTTCTCCAATGCCACAATTCAAAGGATTCTTCTTCTGTCATCCTTAGTCATTTTCCAGCTCTCAGATGCATAGCAAGTAGAGAAGACCATGGCTTGGATTAGGTGCACCTTAGTCTCTAGACTGACATCATTGCTCCTTAGCACTCTGGAGAGGTCCCTGACAGCAGACTTTCCCAAAACAGTAAGAAAGTGCACTACAATCCTGAAAGCCTGTGGTTCAAATCCACCAGCTGCCCTGTGGGACAAGGATGGGCAATTTGTTCCCATGTGATTAATTGCCTCTGAAAACTCACTGAAGAGTCAGTTATAGGTCAGTTCTGACACAATGGCACACAACAACAACAAAGAGAACTAGTTAGTGGGATACGTAAATGTACTAAATACCACTGAGTTTTTCACTTTCCAATGTTATGTTATGTGAATGTGATGTCCAAAGCAAACAAACACACACTTCCCCAAGTAACTCTGAGGATGATCCCAGTTTAAGAATCATGGCCTTGAATATTTACTGTGAGTTTATCCATTCCAATCCTGGAGACTCAGGGGCTCCTGACTCTGAAAGCAGCTTACAATGAGCTAGGGAGTTATAAAATAGGAAGTGAAGGTTGACACTCTGATTCAGAGATTTGGATTCAGTTGGTCTGGGTTGGAGCCCAGGGAAATTAAGTCAGAATTTAAGACTTATTAAAAAAAGAATAAAACACATCCCACTCAGAGGGTCAAGATTCTGATGACACAGAAACCCCAGGCAGGAAGGGGAAAGGCTCAACACAACCTTCCTTTCTCACAGGGTGGTCCTGGGACCACTGCCCCAAAATTGCCTGGGGAGTGGGTGGAGGAGAGAAGCACAATCCAGTTAAAAATGCAGGAGGCCAAGCCCACACTGAAACAAGGACAGCGCTCTGGAGCATGTGGGGGGAGTGTGGTAGGCCAGGGAATCTGCATTTTAAACAAGCTTCAGAAGGATGTATGTTATGTGTAAAAGTGAATATAAAGACTTGATCCCACCATGCTCTTTTCTTTTACTGAAAGCATTTCTTTGAAGCAGGTGAATTTTTTTACTAGAAAAAATTTTGGCCAGAGTTGAATCCTTTAATTGGAAAAGCATGTAAACTAGGGTGATCTTACAAATTTTATTGCTTCAGTGTAGGGGAAAAGCAGCAGATAGTGAGAGGAGGGTGACTACTGCCGCCTGTGCCATGCACGGCCATCTAGCTGCCTGCAGGGCTGGGTAGTACCAACAAATGGGGCTACGCTCACCCTGAGGCCAGACACCACTGTCTGTAACAGTGATATTTATGAAGTGGAGGGAAACCCCTCTTAGCTTGCTCTTAAGCTTTTTAAAGATTAAATGATGAGCACATAGTTTTAGTATATGCTGAAATGTGAACCTCTGTACCCGTAAGGAGGGGGTTCTGGTGGTGGTGTGATGTACCATGGAGTCGGAACTGACTTACTGTTGACCCTCCAGTGGACTTTCAGAGGCAGTAAATTGTATGGGAAGAGACTGCCCATCCTTCCCTCATAGAGCAGCTGGTAGATTTGAACTGTGTGCCTTCAGGCTGGCAGCATAGCTCCTCACCTCCTGCACTGCTAACCCAAAGGCTATGTCTCTCTGATGGATCAAATCCACCAGCAGCTCATCAGGAGAAAGAGAAGCAATCTCCTCCTGTATGATTTACAGTCTTAGAAGACCAACAGAGAATCTGTGATGTCAGTTCAGCAATGAATACTGCAGAACCCTGGATGAAAATAGAAATTTTTTTTTTGTTATGCTGATGCAGTTACACTTGAGTACAGGGGTCCTAAACCTGATCACTTCTAAGTGATAAAAAAAGCATAGCAGCCAGACACACAGAGGGGGGAACACAGAAGCTTGAGAATATCAAGGAGTCCCTGAGACTAGAGATAGAAAATTACCTCCCTCTAGAGTCACGCCCTGAATTCAGTGGGACTGCCCGAACTATGAGAAAATATCTGTCTTCTTAGAGCTTCCTTGAGGTATTTTTGTGAGGGCAGCCCTAGGAAACCAAGACCACACTGTTTGGTGGAGCTGGATGTCAGAATCTGGACTCTTCAGAACCCTGGGACACAGTGGCTAATCACTCACTGGCTAACCAGGTTAGCAGTCTGAACTGACCAGCTGCTCCACAGGAGAGAGATGTGGCAGCCTGCTTCTATCAAGATTACAGTCTTGAGGGGAGCTCTGGTGGCCTAGTGGCAAGGAGCTGCAACTACAATCTCAGAGGCGAACGGTTCGAATCCACCAGATGCTCTGCCGGGTAAGGAGGGACAATCTCCTCCTGTACCAGTCAGATCTGATTTGACGGTACACACACACAAAAATAATAAAATAAAATAAAAATTTTAAAAAAAAAAGATTACAGTCTTGGAAAGCCCACGAGGCAGTTTTATTCTGTCCCAGAAGGTTCACGAAGATCCAAAAAGTATTAGAGGACAGTGGGGTGGCTGGGCTCTTAGCTGCTGCATAATAGTCTCTTCAGTCCTGAAAGCTTAACTTCCTTGTAGAGATTCCACCTCCTCTGACCCACAAATAACAGCCCCCTGGGGAATATTCTAGAACGTTTAAAGATCTTAACCATCATCTGGAGTGTCTGATCATTTAATCAAGACAAGAATGTTATTCCTAGGCAAGCAGACCACTTGTGTAGGTTCCATCTGAATGCTCTTTACCATGGGGCGGGGTAGGGGTGGGTAGAGGCCCGTAATCAGAGTAGAGGATGGAGAAGCCAAGAATCTACCTTCTGGGTCATCGCGGATGACCAGCAGCCCGTTCCTGCACACGACCTTCCCCGTGTTGGCGTCTAGGAATATTAGTGACGGAATGTTGGAGATTCGGTATTTGTTCCAAAGTTTCAGCTGCAAGGAGAAAGGAAAAAGAAAGTGGTTAGAGCCAAACAAGAGTAATTGCAGAGCTCCACTGAGCTTTTCAGGCCCGAGGGTAAACTGGACAGCACTGGAGTGTAGAAAGGGAGATTTCCATCTAAAAATGGGCCAACAGTTAAATCACAATCCCATCTGCCTCTGCCAAAACAGAGCAAGGGACCGCGGGTGGCACCAAGGTTCAAGCTGTGACAAGGGCTGATGGAGTCAGCCCCATGCCCAAGGTAACAAAATGCCATCCGCTCTGGCACCATGCCCGTGATCATTTGTAGATGGGACCACTGTGCTCCATCTGGTTTGCACAGGCTGATTTAAGGAAGTAGGTGGCCTGGACTTTCTTCCTAATCTTAGTCTAGAAGCCCCACTGAAACCTTTTCAGCAACTCAGCAGCCCAACAAGCCTCCAGTGACAGCTTGAGATGTAGCTGTGGACAGGTGTAATGGCTGGGCATTAATTGAATACGTTTCCCTGTGGAAAGTGAGAATTTTACCACTGAACTAACTAACTGTCTAACTAACTAACTAGCACTGCCTCATGCTTATCCTCAGAGGGTCGTTCCCTCCCACCTCACCCACTGGCACATGCTCTAAATAGCATGAAGGCGGATTATGCATTGTTAGAACACATACAGCCCACTGCCAGGGGGTTAGGGAAGGAAGAGAAGGAGGAAAGAGGAAAGAGGGAAGGAGAGATGTTTTATTTGATGCTTTCCCACCCTGCCTCCATCTGTAGACACTTCCTGCACTGAAAGAAGAACAGTACAGGTCCCAACAGAAGAACAAGTAGCTTAACTTGCGTCTCTCCCCACTTCACTCGGTTCCTGCACTTGTGTGTGTGCACCGTTCCACCCACAAAATGCTGTTGTTGGCTGCTGTTGAGTTGGTCCTGGGCACATGAGGTCCTCACACACAAGGGAACTAAATGCTGCCAGTCCTATACCATCCCTCCTGACTGACGGCGAAGCAAACTATTATGATCCATAAGGTTTTCACAGGCCGACTATGGAAAGCAGACTGCCAATCCAGAAGCTCTGCAGAAGCCAGTTCCATTTATCGCAGCAACATGCAAACCCTCCACTGACAGATGGCCGGGGGCTGTGCATGATGTGCAGTGGCTGGGAATGGAACCTGGGTCTCCTATGTGAAAAGTAAGAATGATACCAGGGACCTATAAAACTGGAGGGAGCCAGTATCCCGAATGGGGCCCAACCCAGCAAACTGGTCTGTAGGCAGATTCTTGAGGTTGGCTGTACGAACTGGCAGGTCCAGTGTCTAAGAGGAATGAAGCTAAGAAAAATGCAGTTGCAACAGCTCTGGGCCAGGTGCCCAGAGCTCCAGGTTAGCAGAGTAAAGAACTGTTGAGATGGGTCTTTACGTTCTCTGGAATTGAATTAGCACATCTACAAAGTTGGGTAAGTAAATGAAGTGCCCAGCTACCAAATGCACCTCCAGAAAAGAAAGACACAAAGGGAAGCTACAGAACGGTCCCCTGGTTGAGTCATCTGCTAACAGCCTCACTTTGTTGATCCTGACAGGAAGCTGGAAGCTTGGATATGAGCAGCGTCAGGCGTGGATGTGCCAGGGCAACGGGCTCAATGGGCTTTGTGGAAGTCCAGCACCACAAAGCAGAAAGAAAAGAAACTGGGCTGGTGATTATTATTTCTCATTCAATGTCAAACAGTGAGGGTGCAGGGCAAAGTATTGGCCAAGAAATGCTAGGTTCCCCTGACTGTGGAGACCTGGGTCTTGGCAGGAAGGACTGTGGGACCCCACCTTAAAGGCCTGGACCCCGCCTTAGTGCTGCAGGCTTCTCCCCACCCTGCCTTTCCTGTGGGTTCACAGAACCAGCCAGGACCTATGAATAAGACAGCCTCTGAACAATCATTTTCCAATGGCCAATATTGCATCATGCGAGAGAAATCTGATATGGGGCCCAGTTTAAACAGCCTCCAGAGAAGAGGCCAGACAATAGAATATGGTCATCCTGCTGTTGGGACCAGCTACTCCAATTTGTGGGTGTAAGTGTCCAGCTGGGTTAAAAGAGAAGAAGAAAATTATGGTTTGTTTCTGGTTTAGGAACTAATTACTGGCAAGGACTGGGAAACACAGCAAACCACAAAAACTGAGATAAAAATCACCCATGACTCATGGCTTAGGAAAGCTCAGACCATTTACATTTCCACCAGCAGCAAAAGCAAGCTCTCATTTTTCACCATCCACCTCCATCAATACTATTATAAGCATGTATTTTTTTTTTCCAATTTGAAAGGGGAAAAATGACACTTATTTTTGTTGCTTATCTTTTATTTATTAGTGTTTACATACAGTTATTCAAACAGAATAAAAGAGTTTACCCTTTTCTCACAGTTAGTCAATTTGTATGCTGGGAAAAGAATGTGAGCAAGTGAAGAAGAATGTGGCAGAAGGATTGGTGTTATGCAAACAACACAAGCTTGCCTGCTGACAGGAGAGGACTTGAAGCACTCACTGATGTAGATCAAAGACTAAAGCCTTCACTGTGGATTACAGCTCAACATAAAGAAAACAAAAATCTTCACAACCAATAAGCAACATCATTACAAATGGAAAAAAGATTGACACTATCAAGGATTTCATTTGACTCGGATCCACAATGCATACCCATTCATGTAGCAGTGAAGAAATTCAATGATGCACTGCACTAGGCTAGTCTTCTTCCAAAACCCCCTCTTTCATTTGTCAAAAATGAAAGGCAAAGATGTTACCTTGAGGACTAAGGTGTGCCTGCCTCAAGCCAAGTTAATGTCAATCACCTCATCTTTGTGTGTTAGCTGGATAATGAATAAAAAAGTCAGACGCAGAACTGATGGATTTGAATCATGGTGTTAGCAAAGAATATGGAACACACCCCGGGCTTCCAAAATAATGAGCAAATTTGTCTTGTAAGTACATACAGCCAGAATGTTCCTCAGAAGCAAGGATACCAAGATTTCGTCTCACATACTTTGGATGTGTTCTTAGAAGGAACTAGTCTCTGGAGAAGAGCATTAAGCTTGTTAAGTGGAGGACTGAGGGGAAAAGAGGATGATCCTTAAAGATGGACGGAGACAGTGGGTGCAACAATGAAATCAACACAGCAATGAATATGAGGACGGTGTGGGACGAGGCAGTGTCTTACTCTGCTGTGCACAGTCACTATGCGTTGGAGTCAGAGTGATGGTCCCTAAGAATAACAATAACGGCATGAGAGGTATTGGTGGTAATATCGTCACTCCCCTCCCCAGCAGTATAGTTTGTAGCTAACAAGTGCTGAGCTTCACTCTGTAGCAATTAAGTGAGCACTTACTAGGTACCAGTCCCGTTCTAAGCACTGCAAGTACAGGGAAGACCAAGAGATGAAGTACCTACTGTCATGGAGCTTCCATTTATGCTACTGGAGAAGACAGACAACGAGAATATAATCATTTCAGATACTTAAAAGTAATAGGGAAAAGCCACACAAGGTTAGAGGAGGGTGGCACGTGTTTTGGTGAGAGCAGCTGAAAAGAATTTCTGAAGACATGACGTGTGAACCTAGACCTCAAGAACGAGATGGTGCAAACCACATGCACAAGAGAGGGGCCACTCAGGATCCGGGAGATCCCTGTGGAGGCTGTGCTGGTAAAGGCTGGAATGGACAGTACCAAGGCGTGGGGCTGGGATGAGCTCAGAGTGACACCCTGAGACCTTCAGACTATAAGAGAAACAGGGAATTTTAATCTAAGTGTAATAGGAAGCCACTGAATGGTTTCAAGCACAGGTAGTGATATGATCTGGTTTATGCTAAGACCACTTTGGCCGCCGAAGAGGCCCACACAGGAGGCGCGGACAAGCAGAGGGCAGGAGATCCATCAGGAAGGCTGCCGCAAGCACACCAGGCTGGGGTTGAGGGCCTGACAAACTTTGAAGATGGAGCCAACAGAATATGCTGATAGACTTAGATGGGGAAAGGGAGGAGAAAGAAATGGATAAGAGTAAAATGTCCTTTGAGGGCTTGAACAAAACTGTGTGTGTGCATTCCATGAACCAAGATGAAGAACAATAGAGAAGGAACAAGCTTTAGAGGGAGAATCCAAGACTGGAATAAGGTGTGAGGATGGCACAGGATGGGAAAGGTGTCCACCTGCTGTGTATATATACTCACTATGAGTAGGAGACGGCAGGACAGCAACTAACACCAAATGAGACAGACTGACAAAATAGTTATCGCAACAACCTAAAAATGGCACAAGATTGGCAATGCTTCATTCTGTTACATATCAGGTCACCATTGTGTTTTACTGACTATGCAAAGGCATCTGTCTGACTGTGTGGATCATAAAAATTTAGGCTAATACTGAGAAGAATGGAAATCCCAGAACACTTAACTGTGCTCATGAGAAATCTATACCTAGGTCAAGAAGCTGTTGTTTAAATGGAGCAAGGGAACACTGTGTGGTTTAAAACCAGGAAGAATATATGTCAGGGATGTATCCTTTCTCCTTACCTAGTCAATCTGTATGCTGAGCAAATAATTCATGAAGGTAGACCCTATACAGAGGAATGTGGCATCAGGATTGGAGGAAGATTCATCAACAACCTGCTTTATGAAGATGACACACTCATTATGAAGACACATTATGACACACATTATGAAGATGATCCTCACTGAAAGTGAGGATATAAAACACTTGCTTCAGAAGATCAAAGACTCTAGTCTTCAGTATGGATTACATCTCAACATCCAGAAACCGAGGTCCTCACCGCAGGACCAACAGTCAATTATCATGATAGATGGAGAAAGGATTGAAGCCGTCAATGATTTAATCTTGCTTGGCTCAACAATCAACACTGGTACAGCAGTCCGGAAATCAGGAGACATATTGCAACTCTGCTGTTAGGGACTATTCCAAAATACTGAAGAGTAATGGCATCAATTTGAAGACTAAGGTATGCTTGATTCAGGTCATGTTCTTCTCA